TTCAGAGCACAGAAAGGCAGAGACTGGACTTTGAGGGACAGAGGATATAACCAGCATAATATGGAAAAGTACTGATATTTCACAGGGTGGGGATGGTTCAAAAGGCCTTGAACAAAAAGAAAAAGGGAATCGATCCAAACAGATCTGGGCAAGACCTGGGACGAAGAAAGATGGAGGAAGAGAATGATTAAAACGTGAAAGAGCAGAGAGGGACCCAGGTGTGCCCTACTAATGTAAGTGGGATAAAGAGAGCGAGCGAAGAAAAATGGAGGCGTAAGACGAAAGAACTTCTGAAGGGCCTGACCAGGGGCCTTAAAGTTGTGGCTATGTCTGAACACAGTGTGTTTCTCATTGCCAACTTTTCCACGTGAGTTTAACACAGTGGTGGGACATCTAAAACCTGTTATTGACTACAAATATTTTTAATATGTATACTCAAAGGATTGAATAGTGGCAGTGATTATGACTGAAGGTCTGTGGAATACAGAAGGCTAGGACTGTAGGTCAAAGAAATAGCAATACTCTGCAGCAGAACCAGTCGGCTGCTAAAAATAAGCCAAGATGCCAGAGAAAAGAAATGCATTGAGACAAAGGGGAAGAAACAGCAAAACAATACAAGAAACCTATCAGACCCCTGATACCACGGTAAATTCTTAAAATTCCCTCAAATCCAAAATATGCATGTTGCTTTCTCTAGTACAAGTTACCTACCTATAGTTGTTAAGTATAAGAAAAAACATGCCACTCATGTTCACAAGTGATTTCAATAACAGAAACTGTAACCTATCTTCTGTAGAGGCAGCCTTTGAATGCAATCGTTTTAATCACTATGACTTTACGGAAAGGATCAGCTTTACTTTTTGGATGTTCATTAACAGCCTTCAAACATCTATCTCTCTCTACGTTTATTTATATTTAACATCTCTCTATGTTAGACATGTTCCCAAAAAACTGTCCCCCAGATTAGAAGCTCCATGGGTTAACATTTCACGGACTTATATTAAAAATAGGAGCCTTATTCCCCAGAGAGGGAAAAACAGTTTTGTGATGCAATATATAATAAAATCACAGGGAGGTTTGGGGAAAACACCTGTCCCTATTATTACCTCCTGGGAGGCTTCATTAGAAAAGCGTGTGTGGTTCCTCAGGACAACTGTTGGTTCTGTGCCACCCCGTAGCCTTGTTTCCTTCCTGATCTGGTGACACAGAATTTGGTGAACTGCCCTCTTGCAACGCATGGTGACCCATGTACACCCAGAGTCACTACTGAGCACGGACTGCGGGGCCGCTCTCCAGGGGCTTCTCCATGCTGTCCTTTGGTGGACAACATGTCTCAAGACTTTAAGATTAAAGCCTGACAAGTTAGCGAAGTCAACTTATTTCATGAAATACATATATTAACTTGCCGCGAAAATAACCGAGTTCTTACTTTAACAAAGATTATAGAATCACATTATGTTCTACTTCTCAAATGTGTTCAGGAAGTGAGGTACATGGAAATCATATGCTCCATGTGGAACACTGTGCAGTATGTACATTTTAAACTTAAAATAATTTTATGTCAAATTTTATCCTAGCTTATACATGAATCTTACATGAAACGCAAACAGCAGGTGCAAGGGGTTTATGAAAAATTTATAGAAAAAACTCAATATTGAAAATGTTCTACCCATTTACATTTTCCCTGTGAATTTAGAAAAGATTACAGGAATTCAGTTTTAGCAGTCTACCTCTCCTTCAACATGTGCAATCCCAGCGCTCCCTGGAAGCAGTGTTACCACTTCAGTGGCATTAGAGCTAGGAGCACATATTGAATACATATTGTACAATGACACTACGATTACTAAAAACCAACAACAATACAGGACACATGCTAAACTCTAGTATCCCCACCATGTTTGAATAAAGCCTAATTTTTTAAAAATTGAGGTATAATTGACTAAATAAACCTAAAGTTTAACACATTTATTTAGAAATTCCTTTTCTAAAGTTATTCTCAAGATTTTTTCCAATTCTTTAGTTACATTTAATAGAGAAAGCAACCATCACATACGCATCAGGTTTAAAGCAGCAATCTATCTTGAGATTTACTTTTGCCTGCTTTCTTTCCAGTCTAGCATTCAATAATTTTGGGAACATTACAGTAAATAAAGCGCATTAACCACATATTAAATTTATAATCTATATCTAATTAGTGTAGGATTTTACAAAATTGAAATTCTGTATTAGAAAATTTGGAACATCAATATTTCCTGTGCATATTTAAAAACCAGAAGTGATCGGGATTAATCATTTGGGAAAAATGATTATGGAGAATCTAAAATCAAGAGCAATTAGCCTCAAAATAAGGAAGAATATAAACGACAGGAAATGGCTTTCACATTCATGATTTCAACTGCTCCTAAGAACTAATGTGATGAAGGCAGATAAACAACCCTTACGTTAGAGCCAAGAAGAGATTCAGAAAAAGTCAATGATACTCACTTTTAAAAGAAATATTTACCTACCAAGCATCTGCCCTGTGACTAGGTACTCTGCTAAGTGCTAAGGGCACAGAAATGAACAAGCAAAAACAAAACACAAAAAAGGTACCTGTCCGCAAGAAGTTGAATAGCCTGGCCCAAACTAACTAAACCAGTAACCACTAAAGGAAGGAAGATGACTTCCACTTGGCTTATCGCTTGACTTGGTCTCTCTGCCTTCAAGGTAAGGATGAGCAACGAAGAAAGCCTAGTCGGGGGGTCAGGACAGGCACCTCAGAAAGACGTTGGACACTTTCTAAGTTTAAAAGTACGTGAAACGTGCACTAGAGTCAGAAAGTTTTGTTTTGTTCTGTTTTTTCCTTTCGGACTGGAAATTAGGGGAGCTGTAAAAAAGCTGTGCATGTGTGTGTCTGCCTGTGTGCTGGGGTGGGGGGAGCGGGGAGATGCCAGCAAAGGATAAAGTCTACAAGCTGATGCAGAAGGAAATTGAAGAACATCACACAGTTCTTAAGAGGGCCGGGAAAAAGCACCCCTTGAACCAAGCAAAGCACCAACATGGTTCTGGTCCTCACATGTACAAGGTCAATTAACACGGTGCTGAGGAAAGGCAGGGGTGCCTGTACTTAGGATGATCGTTAAGACGGATAATTCTAGTTGTGGCCTTGAGGAAGGGAGCGGACACACAGACATAATGTATAGCAAAGGATATTTACAGTCACATTTCACGCACCAATAAATAATGCATTCACTTCTCAAAATGCCACAGCAAACGTGGGAGAGAATTTTCATCTATAGTCAGGATTAAACTTTCTAATTTTAAATTACCAGACTTCAGCTGTAAATTTATTTCAGTTGAAAGGTGTGAAGAGATTATTAATGAATCTTCTAAAAGTCTGGAGAGTGTTTAGAAGATTAACATAATAAAAAAAGTCCAGCCATAGGCACGGCAGAAATTATAGGCATGAATTTATTGAGCACCTACTGTGACAGCACTGTGCTAGGTGACTGGGTTGTTTCTCATACTTCGTCACGCTCCGGTCTCCTCAATTTCTCTGTCATCTCTTACCGTGTTCACTTGGAACTGCACGATTCGAAGTGCAGCCCGGCTCATTTATTCCGTAAGGTTGGTCCCAAAGACATTTCCTCATTTGAAGGCGGGGAGGAGGGGAAAGCTAAGTCCCTACCGAGCACTTAAGACCTGACTTTCTTGGTATTTGTGGTGTTATCTACGTGGCCCTTCAGAAGTCCCCGAACTTATACAAAGAACTCAGAGAAGACCGCCCCCGCCGGCCCTCGTTTCTTGCCGGAAGGTCCTTCGCAGCCACAGCTGCCCGTCTAGGTACTAAATCGCGGCCTGTCGATAACCTCAGCTCTAAGTCTGGAAGCCTCGGATCTGGCCGGCCGGGGGCGGGGGCGGCCGAGGTGACAGCAGGTGAGCGCCCGGCGCGGAGGAGGAAGTGAGACAGGCCGGCGTGGGCATTACTCAGGCCGCGTTACCGCCGAGGTGGCTCGCAAGCGGAACTCCTCGCCCCTCCGTCGCTCCAGCTGGACTTCTATCTCGTTGAAGTCACTTCCCATCCCGGGTCGCGCGGGGGAAAACCGTGCGTCCGAGGAGGGGCAGAGAGTCAGACGTGCGCGGTCAGGTGGCCTCTCCCCTGGCACCGCATGTCCCGAACTAGCCCCTCTCCGCTCCCCGGACCTGCCTGCCCCCGATCCCGGGGCGTCCCCGGGCGGCCCGGGGTGCGTGAGCCCCCCGTGAGGAGGAGGGAGGACAGGTCGCTCCGGCCACTCCGGGGGCAGCTCCGAGGACACCGGATCCCGGGGAGAATCAGCCAGACCCGATCGTGCCCCTGGCGGCCGCGGCGGGTGTGGCCGGTTCAGAGCCTCCTACTTTACCTTTCTCACTCCGACGGCCAGTCGCCTTTCGGACCACGTCCGCACCGATCCCCATCGCCCCCGCCCCCAACCCGCGACACCTGGGGGAAACTTCTCCCTCGCCCCTCAATGCAAACTCAGCCGCTCCCCCAGCGGCCGCAAACCGTCCTCTCCCTAGCAACAAGGTTCCGGCCGTAGAGCGAGCGGCTCTAGGTGTAAGGAAGGTGATGTCGTAAAGCCGCGAGTGTCGTAAACCAGGTGCGGTGGGGAGGGGGGAGGGGTGGAGGCGGAGGGGCGGGGGGGAAGGGGGAGGGAGGGAGGGGGAGGAGGTGACTCGAGCATTTAGACACAAGCGAGAGGATCATGGCGGATGGCCCCAGGTGTAAGCGCAGAAAGCAGGCGAACCCGCGGCGCAATAACGGTGAGTGGCGGAGCGGACCGGGGAGCGGCGGAGTCAGGGGGAGCCGGGCGGCTGGGGCGCCCCCGGGGGCGAGGGGGGCGAGCCGGGCTGGGGGCGGCCGGGTAGGGACGGGCCAAGTGGAGTGGGAAAGTAGAAAGTAGTGCTCTCTGCCCCCCTCCGGGCCGCCGCCTCGGGAGCCGCGCCGCGGCCGCCCGCTCTCCCTGAACCGTTATGTCTCTTACCTGGTTTCTCCGCCTAGCGGCTCCCGCCGCCCCTGCCGCCTCGCTGGACCGTTAGCCGCCGCCGCCGCCGCATCCCCGGCGCAGGCGGGCGGCCGGGACGCGGCGTCCACTTTTCTGGGCTCCGGGGGAGCGGCTGTTGCTTCTTTCCGCACTTTTCCCCACTCTTGTGCCCCTCGGCGCCCCCCTCCCCTCCTCCTCGGCGCCCTCGGCGTTTCGTCCCCGCGGCGCCGAGGCCCCGGAGCCGAGGAACTAACTTGTGCCCGGCGCTGCCTGTGTAAGAGTGGCTTCCGCGCGCCTCAGCCCCGCCGGCGCCGGCGCTCGGGCCCCGCGGCTCGGCCGGGCGGGCGGCGGCGGGACGCGGCGGCCGCGGGCTGCGTGTCGTCCGTGCGCGCGTGTGCGCGGGCGGCGCGGAGCGCGCGGACGGGCCGGGCCGGCGGCGGGAAAGTTGGGACCGGCCGGCGAGGCGCTCTCGGCGCGGGACGGGGCTTCGCGGCGCGGGGCGCGGGTGCCTAAGCGCCTTTCCTCGCCCGCGCCCGCGGCCGCCGCCGCGCCCCGAGCGCGGTCCGCGTCCCGCGGGGAGCCGGCGGGAGCGCGGGCGGGCGGGCGGGGCGCGCAGAGCTGCGGCCGCGGGGGCCGCGGGGGCCGGCGGGTTTGCGGAGTTGTTACCTGGTCTCGAGACCGGGAAGCACCGCAGACAGGTCCCCGCCCGGGAGGACGCCTCCTCCGCGCCGGGATGGGGTGCCGAGCGTGCGCCTCCCTTGTGCTCTTTCGGTTTGGGGAAGTTGTTACCTGGGCCGGACGCGCGGGGCGTGAAGCCGGCGAACGGAGCTTGGACGGCGCTCCGGGTCTCGGGTGGAAGGAGGGTGGGGGAGGGGCGGCCGGACCGACGGACGCGGGGCGCCGCTGCCTGCGCTGCGGGCCGCGGTGTTTACTGATGAGTGCCGTTGCGCCGGGGACGCACACCCGCCCTGCCTGGCGTGAGAGTTTAGAAAAATAACAATAATGACGAGAGAGCGAGCGCGAGCCCCGAACATGTGGTGGTGGTTTGCACAGTCGCCTTTTGCAGTTGGGAGAGACGGTGTAAGTTGACTGCATGTCTGCTTATCTCGGGCGCCGCTGTGCCCGCCCGCCCGCCCACCGCTCGGCAGCGAACGTCTGCTGGTGGGTATTGTCTGGACAGTTCCTGCGGCGACAGGGCCGAGGCTGGAGCGCGGCCCCCGCCCGCCCGGTACCTGTTTGGAGAATAATGGGCGGCAACGGCCCTGCCGCCGGCTGAGGCCGAGTCTATATAAGGAATTGCACGGACCTAGCGGACCGAGGGGCTCGTGTGGGTTCCTGCGTTATTTTTAAAACGAGTTTCTGAGAGTCGGGAAATAAAGGCGCCTGAAATGGGATCGCCGTGTCCGCCAGAAAATGAGGAAATGCGGGTTTAAGTCAGAACTACCCGGCGCTCGCCCCACCCCCACGCCTGGGCCCCCTTTCTCCCTCCCCTCTGGGATGCGAAACGCGAGGTTTTGTAACCTTTCCTGGCAATTTCAGATTTTGTGTGGGATTTCCTGTCTCGAAGCAGATACGAAGGTTTTAGGCGGTTTCAAGATGTTTCCTTCCAATCGTAAACGTAATTTTAATATATTCGAGTCGACATTAGAATCACCGCTTTCATGAACGGTGTTAGTTATCCAAATACACGTTTGTATTTTAAAGACCTCCGTTAGTTATGATCGATAACTAATACTGGGCGTCCTCATTGTGGAGAGATGACTTGTTACGGCCGCGGCGGAGCACAGGCTATTGCAATTTTAATTTCCTGTTTTAGCGTCAAATAGTGTGTGTGCTATATCGAGCTGTTGCTGCTGTGGCTTTATGAAAGGTAAGTTGGTTTGGAAAGGGCTGTTCGCGTTTTACCTTATTTAAAATGTTCGTCGCCAGAGAAAGGGGCTTTTCTTGTTGCTGACGACATGTGTGTGACATGTGAGTCTGAACCACCCAGCGTCTGTGCAGCTGCTGTAAACATGTTTACCTGAGCAGGAAAGGATGGATTTTCCTCCTAAAGATCCTGTGATACGAATATTACACCCATAAGGCATATCAACAGCTGACTTAGGGGGAAAAAGCGATCCCGAAAGGTACTTGAAATCAGCAGGAAAGAGAGCTGCTGGACGGCTGCAGCAAATGGCAACTTGCGCAGGTAGAAAAAGATGGTGTTTAGTTTTCCCCTGCGCGTGTCAGCCCCTCCAGTCTGCTGCTTTCATTCTCAGGGGAGCGATTTATTTACCGCGCTTGCTGTCAGTGTTTTTCCTTTGTGTTTACTATTAGAGAAACAGATTTGGGGCTGTTTAGCACAAAATGTCTCGTCTGCAGTGTGCATCACTCTCAGAAAACAAAAGGTGTTTCAGATAGCACTGTGCTACTACAGGTATCTTCCATTTTCATCAGTGTTGGCTCTGTCCTTGTATTTCTTTTTGTTCTCAGATGCATTTCATCCATTGCTGATTATTACAGCCACGCTATTTGATTAAGCCTCATGATTTGCAAATTAAAAATGAAGTTGTATGCCATTGTGTTGTGAAACCTCAGGATAGGTGCTGGTTAAGATTTCTTAGCAACGCAGTCATATTTAAGTTGCAGTGGTTTATTGGAGAGAATCGCTTGGAAAATGTTAACTCTTAAATCTTTTTAATGAAGGAATAAATGATGTATACAGTGGGAGGTGGTCATAGAGATACTTGATACTGTAATTTATATGTAAATAATTTTTTGTTCATTTTAAAATAAGGCATGCAGATTTTCTGCTAAGCCTTCAGTAAAACATTTTAATTTCCTTTCTGGAATATATCTGCAGAGTAGGATGTTAATGGGAGCATCAAGTAATGTAACTTGACAGGGGTAAAACAGTTGAGCAAGGTTTGGCCAAAGCCTGAAACCTTATGTAGTAACTCTATGGTGATGATGTTACTGGCTTAAATTGATTTCTTTTTTTTTTTACCGTTTATAATGTAATGCTTTGTTTGCTGTATTTTTAAAATCTGCCTTCTCATTTTCCACTTCTACTCTTTGTGGTTACTTATTTATTTATTTATCTATTTGAGAAATGTACTCTAGCTGCTAACGACTACATACTGATTAATTCACTCTAGATGGACTGGCAGGTACATATCTTCTGTCATTTGCATTTCTACTTGCTGTCTTTGGAAACCACCAGTAGAGGATGCTAACAAAAATTATTATTGGTGTAGTATACCATAAATCTGTCTATCTACTGTTGATTTGGGACCTCTGCTTTGATAGGGACCTTCAGTATAATTCCGGGTCTTACCCTTATTTAAAAGTAGCCCTGGGTAAATTAGGCAAAAGCATTTTCTAGTCTGCTAGGACTGGAAAGAAGTAGGATTGTTTTAGCTTGAACAGTTGTATAAATTTGGTCTTCTTAAATCTTGCAGCTGAGATTGCTGTCAATTTAGTCTTGCTGTAGACCAGTTGTATTACTGCTGTTTTAAAGAAAGTTTTGTTTTATGTTGTTAGGTTTAGAGAAGAATATGTAATGATCGGTCCGTATTTATTTTGCATTCTTACTGTATTTTTTAATCTCCTTTTTCATTCATGGTAAGATCCCTAGAAATATATATTTTTAGACATTAAAAAATGTAAATGGTTGGATACGGTAAGAAAATTTGAAAATAATTGGTGATATTGTGTAATTATTTTTTCATAACTTACATAGACTTAAAACTATACATGGGTTGGCGGACAACTACTGAAGAAGGTATTTAACAGCGGTCACTCAGATGTTAGCAATTTTTATCTTTTCCTTCCGCTTCTGATTAAGATTCAGAACCAGGTAGTGTATAAATTTTAAATTTACCAATTCTAAGTTAAGGAATGTAAATTTGTTTTGAAGTTTTAAATGCATTTAAGAGTCTCTGTAGTTTACTAATTATTGTATGCTTGTTTTCAAAGAATTCTTTTCAACAAATATAAATTGGTATTGTAACTTATATTCCATGAGATTTAATGTATTTAGTTATGTCTTTTTGGCCTGTGTCTATATAATTATGTTAATGTTACTGTAAACTTTTAGAAGCCTTTCATTAGGTCAAATGTTAGAAGTATTTACTTCCCTAATTTTTTTTAGGTATTTTTACCTAAATATTTTTTTAATGGTATTTCTGTAAATGCACCAACACTAGTACCATAATGCAACAGTAATACTCTTTATCTTGAAATAAGTAGGAATTATGTGAATTATCAGGTAAGCCTGTGTGAATTTCTCATTTTAGGGTGTCATAGTTCTTCGAGAGAGAGAGAGAGAGTGTGTGTGTTTGTGTGTGTGTGTGTGTAAATATAGTTTTACATTTCCTGACACAGTTCTTGAGTGTGGTTTTCTAATTCCTAGAGTTCATCAGTGAATAAGTTTGGTTACTATCAACTTATTTTTTTATGAACTGAGGAACTTTACCACAAAGCCATGACATATACAGCTGTAGCATGGAGCAAAACTTAAACTATTTTATAAATTGAAAGTACCAATCACTTGTTAAAATGATCCTAGTATAAAAGCATATGAAATATTTGGTTAGTACTGTTTTTTCTTTCTTATATCCAGTGTTTTTGAAATGCCATACCCTATGTTTGCAATTTCAGTAACTTTGAAGCCTGTGGTGAGAAAGTTATATCAAGTTGGGAATGATACATTTAAAATAACAACTTAATTGTTTCTCATAGTTGTGTTTTTTTTTCCTCCTTTTTTGCTTTCCCCTGTATAAATCACTTTTAAACATGTGATTAGAGACAGATGTAAACACAGATGCAATATCGTGGAACTATATTGTTAGCTACTCTTAACTACCTGTAGTGAATTGCAATGGAGGAGAAGAAAAGTCATGCAGATGTTAGAAGAAGATACACATTGGTGTGCGGAAGTGCAATGAGAGGTTAGAGGACTTGGTGAAATGGTAGAAATAGTATTTAGGACGGAAAAAGTTTTCTTAATCCTTGCAGTATGATCACTAATTTATGGGGAAATGTATGTTCATCCCTAATAGAGCTATAAGCTAAATAAAACAAAAGTTCATTGTTGAAAGAGAAGTAAAATATTTTAAGTTAGAAAGATACCCTGATTAGGAAATATAATAAAATGTATTTTTAAATACTTTTTAAAAGGCTGTATGTTGTGCCTGTAACTAGCTAAATGATCATTAAACTAGTTATATTAAAAGTAGAAAATAAATGGATATACACATAGTAGGAAAAGTTCTGTAGCAACCCTGGTTAAAATTAAATGTGATCTGTTATACAAGCATTGCTATAGGAAATAATCTTTCCTTT